CCAAATCAGCATCACATAATGTCTATGAAGATATAAATTCACAGTTCACAAACTCAGACACAACAATGTGGCATCAACAGTCACTTTGAAACACTAGAAAATCTTGTATAAAGATCAATAAAGAGCTTGAAAAACCAAACCTGTAAAACAAATGAACTGGGACTATATGGAGTCCGATCACCAGAAAACTTGCAGAGAAGATAACATCAAGACCGCAAGGCAAACACAACAAACCCATTGATCTTCTCGGACAAAGATCATGATTATGCTGACCACTCAGCCAAAAGTTCCTCAAAGGAGGAGCATGAACAAGTGCTTGCAACACATCATTCATGAAACAAGTGCTTCCTAGATTGTCCAAACCCCTTAACCCCAAAGGAAACGACCATTTCTCTCTTCGATCTCGAGGCGAGACCAAAAACTTCGATCCTATAATCAATTGCAAATCCAATCTCCTCTTCTTGTTCTATCTACCCGTAGCAATAACAACATCTGCTCCGGATTTAACAGACATACCTAAACCACTAACAACCTCGTCGAACTCAGGATCGTACACTTGATCAATGCAAGAGTAACAATAAAGCTCAGATCTTTCGACATCAATGGCGATATCATGTCCTTTTTCGATTGGGTATGCAAAAGAATATGACTTGAACAAGATATCGAACGACAAATCAAACAGATATAGAGTCTCTTGTGATAAACCGAACAATAACTGCATCTGGATATCTCGATTTCGTGAAGTTTGATCTTAATTTCATCGGAAAAGAAGAGAAAGAGATTTTCTTGCGAAAGAGAGGCGGTCCAATAGCAACGAGACATGTGGCTCCATTGATCCGTATCAAGCGTCTCTCTTGGAATCTTTTTTTTTCATTTTCTTTTAATGACTTGATGCTCCTAAAGTATCACCGTTACAGATGCTGTAAGAGCAATTCCAATGGGACTTTAAAACACCAAATTTGGTGTCATTTGATCTCCAATGGGACTTCATATTTCACACTAAAACTTTTTATTTAGTGTTTTGTGAATAGTATCACACCAATGTGATACTATTCACAAAACACTAAACAAAATATATTATTTTATTTGTATTTTTTGGT